ACTAAGCGTTTCAAATAGCCTCTGCTGAGGAAGCCCTACTCACTCCCTTCTCGTGGCAAAGGGAAGATAGCAAATGAGCAATAATTGTTCCCGGGGACAACGGCAAATGCACAATCAGTTTAAACCTATCCTACCCTGAGCGAATGCCCTCGGTTGGGAACACAACTCTACTGGTTCTGATGTATCGGTAGCTTGGTCAACGTACCACAAGTTTTGTTCGTCGAAGAAACTGACTCTGTTTTCCATTGTGAACAGACATTTGAGTCACCCGCCAGAGCAGTAAAAAGGAATTCCCCGACTTCTTATTTTTCGCCAATCTTAAACTACTCCGGTGTTGTGAACCTGGTGTGAAGGAAAAGACCTTAACCCCACCCACCCCGTCACATTTAATCCCACNAGTCATCACACATACACAAGCCATTCGACCCGAACGGCATTTTGTATATGACCAAGAGAATACGCGCCACCGAACCAATCCAATTGTTTGTTTTACATTCCTTTCCAGATCAGTACGCTTCCAATTTCCCAGGAAAACGCTGCGATTTTTAACCATTCTCAAACGTCGTCCCCCTCCCTTCAGATTCGAAAAATACTGTAGAATTTTCTTTAGTCCCATACAGCCGAAGACCATGCAAACCCTCTCTACCGGTGAATTTCGTTCGCCAACACAGCTCTCGCACGCCGCAATGCATCCGTTAACCAATGACACTACTTACTCATTGTTATTCAGCTTCGATAAACAACCACAGACAATCAAACCTGGCTTTGTCAAACACGTGGAAGCATGTTTGACATTGCCCCCTATTCGACCGTGTACAACGCGAGGAAGTTAGTTCTATCTGCAACCTTTTCCCAATAGTCAGGTTGCAGTTCTAGTTCATCGCTCGACAATTACTTTACTGCTTTCATTTAATCCTCCTCGAGAGATGAGCAGCGCCAAACGGTGTTTTTGAGGGTCATGCATCACTAGTCATCATCGTCGTGCATACAGGAACGCAGTGAAACGAACTTCATCGATCGCTGTCAAGCGTACAAAACAACTACGAACGCGTGAGGTGGACCGAGAGTGGACTTGCTGAGGGAAAGCTTTTATGATCAACACCTGATAAAAAATGACAACGCCACTGCTATCGGGTACGTAGGCAGATCCTATGGTGTCTCGATCCAACCAGTTATGAAGTTTAATGGAAACCAGTCTGAAAAACGAGGGACAATGATTTTACCTAATCGCCCTCGGCACTCATTCATGCATCGTGTCTACATCATCCGTTGACCTCTACACCGCACTGAGAATTCAGGCAAGCAGATTTCTTTCTCGTGTGCGTGTGCCTTGTGTATATCTAACAGGTATCTTTCGCACTACACCCAAAACCACTCCAAGGTGGAGAAAATCCCGCGGAGATCAACGGATGACGTGCAGATGGGGCGTGAAGAAGAGGGCTGGCAGAAAAGATGCCTCTTATCTTCCAAACCAGAGTTCAACAGGTTCTGAAACCGAGAAAAATGATGCTCGCATTGTCATTTCCTACCTGGCCAGACTGTCCGAAGAAGTCTGTATATACTCCGAGAAAATTGGTTTACTTTAGTGTACCGTTCACCAAAAAGGTCTCCTTTCTATCCATCAAACACCTTCAGCATAGTTGATTTTACATTATTTAACCATACGATTATGATGACTACCGTGCGTCTTATATTTTGACAACTATTCCTTAACAAGCCCAGACGAGTTGGCCGGCATCGGGCCAGAATGCTGGTGGGGACATTCTAACGGCATTTCGTACAGGGTCTTTAAACAAGCCGGTCAGCAGATATGCATGTTCAGAGCGATCAATAATAACAACAGTACTGAACGGAGGAATTCACAGGGCTTTGATGTTGCAAACAATGAGAAATCTTCATTCTTCCTGTGCTATTATTCCAAGTTGGTTGCAACCACGTGTTGGGCTTTACCAAGCGTAACAACGAGGCTATCGACCCAACGATTTTGCACTCAAAACAAACAATTGAGTTGGATCAATAATGTCATTCTGAACGACAGCACGATTAGTCGTGTGTTTCTTGTGTGTAAGAGAGCAAGGGAAAGGGTGAATGAAAGGTTCATATCGATTATCGGAAACAACGGAAGAATGATACAGCAAGAGAGACAGGGACTTTTGAAGCTTTTAGACAAATCAAATGGCGTAATACGGATAAACACTATCCTTGAAGTATCTAATCATGGAACATTAAACACAATCGGATGGAACATAAGTGAGTCTTCGTTAGCAGAGTGAGAATACCAGCTTCGGGCAGAAACTAGAGATATTTGTTTTGATTGCATCACATTGAGAGACGTCCGGCAAATTGAAAAAAGTATTAACCAGCTAAATCAGTGGGAAACGTTTGGCGTGGTAGTAGGATTAAGATGGAAAGATGAATTTGAACGAATGGAAAGAAGCTGCCATGCATGCATGCTGCTAACGCTCAACCTTCGCTGTTATTAGTATATGAATATTAGCCCTGGATCTGAGTACGGGTTTTGGTTGCAACAAACAGAGGCTCAAAGAGAACATGAAATGCTATCGTTTACGACGAGAAACCGGTGTAATACGAGAAAATGGACGCGTAACAAGTGGACACATTGATGTGCATCGTTCCTGACGGTATTCGCGCATATTATCGAGTACAGCGATCAGGGCTGGGCCTGAAAACTCAACCAGGGAGCGTAACACAAGCCATGCGTGACTCAATGTGAAGTTCAAGGCTACCCTCGCCTCAAGATCGACCTCGGTATTGCTTGCATGATGGCCTCGCTCAACTCGTGCAATGATGTGTAGAAAGCGATTTCTGCACGCTGATAATCGACACTAAAGACCATAACCGTGTACCACACAAGTGGGTCAGATGGAATCAACCCTGCCTAGATTAATGAGTGCCATTGTGAGACTACGAAAGTAACGAAATTGACGAGCGAAAAGCGATTTTTTCAGTTAGCTTTTACTCTATTTATCCGTACTGGATTACCGTTCAACTGGACTGTGCAGATAACAGCCAAAAGAGCACCATCCAACCTGGCTGAATTGGTGCACAGAGCTAAGAGCTAACTAACAAAGAAAACAGTAGTGACTGGAGTTCGGTGATCTAAATCGTCTACGTGATGAGCCTGGGGCTCCTGCATTGGTCTTGGAGTCATCATCATAGTGTACTGCTAGCCAACGAGGTAGTGAAAGGCATGCAGGGACGATTGGGCTCCTAATGCACTAATTATGACTGGTGTCGCATACGTAACAGAACAATGATGTAAGTCTAGTTGACAACGTGCAACCTGGTTGTGAAGGCCTTGTATAAAAGGTAGTGTTTATATAGTAATATACACGTTCATGTGGAATATATATGTTTAACACCGGCTTGTAGACAAGCATGGTGCCAACGCCACAGCAATCATAATAACAACAATAAAAGGGGGCAGGTGGGTTGGGAAACGGAACAAAGTGAAAGATGGGGAAATCGTTTTTTTATGAAAGAAGAAAATGTTTAACATGTGTATTCTCGAACCAGTTGCAGTTCGAATAAATCAGCATACTGGAGAACAAATTTGCCTGGCAATCCATCAATTAGTCCTGGTCTGCGCAACGAAGTCATGGCTTTAATTCGCGGTCCACAAATGAACAGCCCGAAAAATTGTGACTCCCAGGTGCCTGTGTTTAAAAGGCTTGCACTCAAGAGACTTCATGTTAATCTTTCAAAATTTCGTTCTCGTGGCAATAGCCGTTCCAAAATCTGATTACTTTCTCTCTCTCTCTTATCTAGTGTGTGTACTTGTCGACAGGAACACGGTAGCTAATGTTGGACTTGGTAATTTCAGACCGTGAACTCAAGTTCTCCCTGCCTAACTAGTTCACTTTGTTCTCTTTGTTGCGAATTTCCTTTATGTGGTCAATGAAAGTTATTTTGACTGAAATATCTGAAAAATATTGGAAATACAAATACCGTCAATCAAAAATTGTTGAGAAACAGGAGCACAGAGTAGGGTTGAGTGGAAAACGTCACGTGATCAACTATGCAATGTCTGACAAATATTGATCAAAACGCTTGTGACAGAATTAGGTTATTGGCAGATGTTCATTACCACTTCAAATTGATTGCTTGTTGCCCCAAAAGATGGCTGGCCGATCATAATTCCAAAGACATGGCTAGCGGATGATCTTTGACCTCATACGAATGGAACTGTGGTTACAA